TGGTTCGGTGTTTCTCCGTGTGCATGTAGCGAATGCAAAACACGCTTGTTTCTTGCGGCTTCAAGCGGTCATTGGGGCATGGCAAGCGCAGAGCGTAAAAAACCAAGTGATCATCGGGCAATGGTGAGAGGTAAGCTCGCTGTCTTCTGTTCGCTAGGTTCCAATGGGGACGTGCAGCGGTTGCAGTGTCAGAAATTGCAAAACTATGTCGAATTGAGTGATTCTGTTACCAAACAGAATCGTTCCAAGTAGAGAGTGGTGAGCCCAGCTTGCTTGCCACACCCCGTGTTGATTAGCCAAGCTTTAGCACAAAGCCCTGCCGTAAGCAAGTGATACTTCGCTGCAGGCCCAAGACGCAGAGGCGGAGCCAAAGAAGGAACCGTTGCAAGCGGGGAGCTTATGTTGCCCGACCACCTGCGACTCTGAACTCTTGGAGCGGTAGGTTGCACGCGTTGGATTTCTGAGACCACACCGGCAAACCCAGTAGAAGCAGACTTAGTCTCGTGACCTCCTCACACCTAGAGTGGTGGGTACGTGGAAACGTCGCAGCTACCTGCAAATGCCTACCGAAGGTAAGGTGATTCAATCGCTACCAGAGAAGCGAGAAGGGAGTAAAACACATGTTTGTTCGGAGACTGCACCTGCGGGACCTCCGGCCTCGGCGGATAGCTTTTGCAGGTACTTCGAGCAGTCTCCCAGAGATTAGCAGCGCGTGACGTATTGTCGAATGTCACAGACCGAGCAGACGCTTTGATGTGCGCAAGGTCGTCCAACACAGCGTGCACTCAAAGGACTCCAAGAAGGTGGCAAGTGCAAGAGCCCTAGAATGCAGAGCCCAATGATCCACCGCATACATCGGGCTAGACATCGAAACCAACGGTTTTGTCAACGTGCCATATTCCAACGGTTTTGTCAACGTGCCATATTATGATCAAGAGACACATTCCGTAATTTAGATTATGCAGGTGCGTGGCAGCCGCGGGGGTGACGGAAGCGGTGGCAGTAGAGCGAGACCACGGGGTGAAAAGCAGGACAATATCGCGCTCTGCTTGATGCCACTGATGCATGCCGTTCTTCCTTATCGCTGGACACACCTCGCCCTATCAGAAGCTGTTAAATTGTCAGCTGGTCCGGAGGACCGCAGAATTGACACCATACCCGAACCTGTGCTTGGATCCGTGCCCTGCCAAGTTCGCACGCTTTGCCAGTTTCTGCGACTCAGACGAATTCTGCTGCTGATCAGGGTCAGGTACAAGATGCGCATGTCGCAGACCGTCAGGCTCGTCGGGCATACACCGAGCGTCCATGTACGGGGCATGGCATGGCTGTGTCCGAGGCAGCTGCTTTCAACGCGATCCCAGGTGCCCAGCTGCTGCCAGATCCACCCGCCACTTGGATGCACCTCGTCGTATGAAGTCGTGCACAACATTGCGGTGTCCTCTCAGGAAAGCGATGGATACACAGGGAAGAAGCCTGGCCCGGAGGTTCTGTTTCTGCAGGACATGTGGCAGTTGAGATGGGATGGTGTGACCAATCTGGTTTTGATTGCATCGTGACAGGATCCGCGGAAGTGGCCCGCATCCATGAAGGCTGGGCCGTGGCAATGTGCTGCGATGTGTTTGCAACTGAACCTTCGTTCCGTTTCGTTGTGTCAGGCCAAGGCGGGTGACCCAGCTGCTCGAAGCAGCTCCTCGGCCGAGTTTGGCGCCTCAGAGGCCTGGGACTGGGAAGTGATGCAACGCGGCGTCCAGGCTTGGTGCAGGTCCCGGCTCTGCCGGATCCTTATCACAAGTTGGACGGGGAGGCATTCCAAGCCACAGCAGCTTTTCAGGCACCTGCATCGTCACTTGGCCGCTCCAGAGTGGAAGATGTGGAAGCCTTAACGCGGCACGGGGGGCTGAGACGGCTGCGTGTCTTTGAGCTTGAACATGCTTGAACAAGGCTCCCCCCGGAAAGTCGTCCTGACGGCCCAGGAACAGCTCTGCACGAGTTGTCAGATTGAAGCTGTGAAAAGAAGCACTGTGCCTCCGGAACGAGTTACGAGCCGCCGATGTGGAATGGAGTTGCTACTTGTATGGTTGATGTCTGCAAAGTCTGCAAGATGCACATGTGATCTTGCCAATTCCCCATTGTGTTTCCTCAAAACTCAAAACTCCTGTTAAAGCTTACGTCGGGTAGCCAATCCAACACGTTGCCGCTGCGATGGGTTCAGATGGCTCGAAAACACCCAATATCTGCGAATGCTTGTTTATTATCTTTTTTTGAGATGCCCATCCATGTTGAATGCCAGTTAGGCACTTTTGTAAACTGTGCTCTTTGAGATTGAGTGGGCATGGAGACCCGCGAGCAGCAGCATCAAACACGCGTGGCGGCTCCTTCCGAGGCTGCAGCCTCAGCTCCTGAGCTAGTTTCAAACCTCGCCGTCAGAACCCGACTCAACCGGCCATAGCACGCTGTACGTTGACGCGATTGATGTGTTCTCAAATCTGTGCGCATGCACTGCAAGTTTGAGGATGCCAGGTGAAAGACATTCGGGGAGCGTCGGGGTCTTTTGAGGTCGAGGGTGTAAAGTTGAACTGTTGTGGATACGCGGGCATCCACATTTAGTAATGCATGTTCGCTCGTGTCCGCCTGTCTGCCAGAGCATGTCTTGGTCTGGATGGGCGACATTGCCGCACCAAGGAATTCCAGATGGGGCAGACTGGCAGCCAAGCTCTCAATCGCTGTCACCCTCTCACAACTTGAGTCACTGCTGTATAAGCCTTGGTGTTGTGTTGAGCATCAGCGTAAGGTGCAGCTTCTGTGGCTGCTGTAGCCTGTGGCATTCTACTGGCCGGGCGGCTGTCTTTGGAAAGCTTGATGTACATGGGCTTCTTGGCATTCGACCTACCTTAGCAGCCTTAGCAGCTTAGTATGCCTGGCTCCTTTTTTTCTTGCACCGCAGTGGGCAGCTGCCTGTGCAAAAGACGCACCTCCAGGCTTCATTAGCATGTCTGGCAAGACAGCCCTCACGTTGGCCGCACTGGCTTCGCTCAGTTACGTCTTCGGCTTAGCATCATGGGAAGTGCTCTCCGGACATGCCACCGTGTGCAGTTTGTCTGTTCAGGTCATCTGTGGACCCTTGCTATTGCAAGCACGCCTGACGAAAAGAATAGGCCTTTCATACAAGTGCATCAGACCTGCAGAAATCCAATCGCCCATTTCTTGCAGGCCAAATGCTCGTGGACAGGGTGCTGAATGCCCGGTGCAACTGGGAGTTGCTCACTCAAAGAGTCTTTACATTGTTCTTCTGCACCGTGACATTTCATTGACGCCACTTTGTGCAGCCGTCATCTCAACAGCAGGGCAGGGCAGGGGCAGGGACAGGGACAGGGACAGGGCAGGGAAGGGCAGGGCAGGGGGGCAGGGAGCAGGGGGCAGAAGGCAGGCAGGGCAGCAGGGCAGCAGGGCAGGCAGGCAGGGCAGGCAGGGCACAGAAGCTGCATGCGTCTCATGTCACCCAAACGGAGCACCCGAACACTGGCTGTTTTGCCAATGCGCTGTAAAGGGATGCAGCCGTGGGGATCTGTGGGGCTTGTGGGCGGTGGATCCTTCAGGGCAATTCGGTGAGGCCAACAACCGGCAGGAGCAGATCTGCTAGGCCAGGCTTGAGGTATCTCTGTGGAATGCAGGCCCTGGGCACCAGTTTGTGATGGCTCAAGTGCAACAATCACTGAAGTCTGACACAGAGGTTCGCCTTAGTTGTCAACCGTCAAAAGATCTCAACGGCTTTGGGGGGCATTTGAGGGACTTCTTGATTTGGGAAAATGCTGCAAGCTGATGAACTGACCTATGCAGCGGGGATTGAGTGGTATGACGTGCTAGTCCAGGCATCTTGCCACAACGCACTGATCGTGGTTTCCCAAAACAGCAGCAGGTATCACTCGGTCACCGGTTTCGACGCAGACCGGTGACTCTTTGCAGGTTCGTGTGCCATTGCGGTCTCATACTGCTGAGAAGTATGTCGTGTCAGGGAACCTCTGGGCTTTTGCGTGTCCAGCCTGACCCGAAGTCGTGTTGATCTTGTCGCCCTGGTTGTGCAGCCGATTCGTCAATGTACTGTAAGTCAGTCCTACTGATATTTGTGTGTGGGTTGACGAGCTGGTGCTGGGAATGTCGGATGACTTTGAAGACGCATGCTGCGTTAAAGTGACGCTGCTCGGGTACACTGCCAGCATTATGCGGTGTCACTGTAATCAGGTGGTTGTGGTGGTGGTTCTTGTTGTGGTTGTTGTGGTTGTGGAAATGGTTGTGGTTGTGGTTGTTGTCGTTGTCGTCATCATGGTCTCGTCGTCGTCGTCGTCGTCGTCGCCCTCTCCAGCGAAAGGTTTTGCATCACCTTCACCGCACGTCTCCGCTAGTGTTCTGAGGTCAGACACTCTTCGCAGCTTTTGCGAAGTTTCGCTGTGGCTGATGGTTGTTTGGTCAACCTATGCCTCTTCGTCGGCACAGTGACAAAACCGTTTGAGCCTCGAGCATCCTGCAGCTGCTGACCGTGAGACGCTTCGAGGTTAGTTCTGAGGGAGGACCTGTTGGCCTTGTAGCAGCTCTAACATTTGGCACATGTGCAGGCCTGGATCGGTTTTGTGCTGTCTTGTTGCATGCATCCCCTTGACATACATTCCTTACAACCTCAATCTTGCAAGCTCGTTTGTGGCAGGGGCCGTGCTAGCGGTTCTGGGAGAGCTTCTGCAGCAACCACTTCGCAGCGTCGAAAGGCAAGCACGGCACAGCGCGGAGCAGAGTCTCTTGCATCGGTCGTTCGCACCATTTCGCACCGTTCTTGGCAGGGTGTTGAGAGAATCTTCAGCCCGCAGAACCCGGCTAAAGACAGCCGAAGAGGAGGCAGCGAGAGATTCGCAGCACGTTCTTCGGGCTGGAGAGGCATTGACACTCTCTGGGTGCCAGGAGGAGACATTCGTCACGTCGAACATTGTCATGCTGGTCCTCTTCGGTCCTACTGCACCTTGCTGAGACGTTTAGCCCGTTCTCAAATCTTTTCGAGAGACACCAGCGGTTAGCCTGTGCTTTCGGCGAGGGAGCTAGAGTCCAAGTGCACATGTCGGCAACCTTGCCTGCGCCACCCGAGGTCGTGAGCACTGTCTATGACAATTGTGACTTGCTGCATTGCTCGATGTTTTCAGTGGCACTTCTGCTATAGCTTGAGCCACCTTGCTGCCGGCAGTAAACTTGCAGCAGGCAGCGACATGGCAGTGTTGGCTGGCATCTTGGCCCACCACCCAGTCATCGTCTGGCAGAAGAATTGAAAGGGTTGTCCTCGGCGGACGACCACAACCCGATTGTCAGACCTGCCCCAGTGACAGCACCCTATGAAGGTTCTTGGTGGTGCCACCATACTCGCAGCCGCGCGGGTATGTCAAGCCACCCGTCGAAGCAAGAGTGTTTCAGATTTCAGGTGAGTGCAGATGTTTGCATGTTGATGGATACCAGAGCAGAGCAGAGCAGCCGTTGCAGAGCCAGGCCTGGGAACCTACCCGGCATTTGGGCAACATCCTGCAGGTGCGCAAGTAGAGACTCTACGTTCTGGTAAAGGGGGCTCATCTGGGCTCTGGCTCCGGTATAAAGTTGAAGGCACGGATCCTCAACACGTCGGAGAACTGGAGGGAGCACCCTGGCCGCTCCGCACTTGCTCCTTGTCCAAGACTGCAGCGCACATTGTCGCTTCACGACGGGAACGACGGGAACGTCCTGATGCTCAGGAGTCGACTTTCTTTTGTGCAGTCGTCATGGGAGTGTACGAGCTTCATGGCAACCCGACTCTCACCGCCGGGTTTCGGCTTTCCATGGCTCTCCATTCCCGGGATCCAGAGCGAACAAGAGCGAATCGAGTTGTCCCGAGGCGACGCGCTGTTCGCATTGCAGACGGGCTTCATGTCCGGTATGTCGATTGTCATCGCGAGTGATGCTCGGCAGAGCTCGATTTCGCGCGGGTGAAGAAGACTTGCAATTGGAAAACAATCATCATATAAGCTGAACCGGGATAAGATTCATCTTGTTCGGAGTGGCTTGCAAGCGCCTCTTCATCACAGTACCTTGTCGGCTTTACAACATTAAGCGGTAGATTTTTTGATCGCATTGCCATGTGACCGAGTCAGGAAGTGTTTGCGCATGGTATCAACTTTGACATCAAGGTTGGGAAGCACCCAGACCCAGCTGTTGAAGCTAAAATCCGACTCTGTGGCCACCTGTTGTTCGTAACGTGCTGGCTCCATCCTGTTCCCTCGAGCAGGTTGATGATTCCAAGCAGACATCGGTGCCGCCAGTGATATTAGGATATGTCAGTTTTATGGTTCTCGCCGCTTGGCATGAGCACTCAGAGTATGGCCGTGATAAGCATGAGTGGATATCCGCCTAGGTTTGCTTCTACGCTCGCGAGCACGAGACGGTGAACAGCGCAGCCCTATCTGTGATCGTCAACAGCCTTCTCTGGGCATTTGCCTCGGCAGTTCATGGACCCCGACCAAACAGAACTCCGTTTTGACTTTTGTCGATTGCGCCCTGTCGTCGTCGGGTCAGGTCATCCTTGGCAGATGCTGCAGTGCCGTTGAAGCAGGGCAGCATCTAGGCAGGGGCAACTTGCGCAAGCAGATGACCCTACAGTGTATGCACAAGTCACGTAGCAGCCTCTCAGGTCAGATTGTCAACCGAAGGCCTGGAGACAACATCCTTAAGCACGAACGAACATCACGGGAGCTTCTTTCTGCAGGGCGTTGGATGCGGCTGAGAACTGGACCAAGTTTCCTGTACGATCTGCTGTGGAATGCTCTGCACCTTGTCGTTCAGCATCTTCACCTCTGTCAACGCCAGTGTTCGGTTGAAAAGTCACGTCTGACTTTGGCATAGTGTCGTGCGCTCGAGGCATGGCTCTTCGGGCAGTATATAGGCTGGAGAGTCGCCCTTTCGTCCCACAGATGTCAAGCTAAGAGCCGGCAGGACATCGCT